GGGGGGGGGGGGGGGGGGGGGGGGGCTCCCCACATGGCGCCCTCAGCGGTAGTAGTACGAGTTCCCGGCCAGGGGGGTGGACCCGGTGTTGCCCAGCAGCGATGTAGTCTCACTGTAGTCGGTGGTCTGGATGTTGCCGGTCTGCTGGTGGGTGGCCTGCTGGTGATGCGGCTGATTGGGATGGGCCTTGTACACGTGCGACGAATAGGGGATGTTGTAGCCCGGAGTGGGGCTGTAGTAGTTGGCCGCGGCCTGGGGGTTGGCCCCGGCGATGGCGGGATTGGCCGCGGCCGCCGGCGGCTGCTGCTGCTGCTGCTGCTGCTGCTGGCTCGGGCTGCCAGTGTGGTCGAAGATGTAGAACAGGCAGAAGACCGGGATGATCTCCAGGATGATGAAGTAGATGGAGTCAAAGTACCACGCCTGGGTCCAGTCGAGGAAGGTCCACGCGACGATGATGGCCGCGCGCCCGGTGAAGAAGAAGGTACACAGCAGCGTGACGAAGCCCAGACGCCGGAGCAGGTCCCGCTGCTGGTCCCGGCGCTGGACCGTGATGGTCGGGAAGCGCCCATACCGCAGATACAGCTGGGTCCCGTAGAAGAAGTACCCCACGGCCAGGATGAAGTACACCAGCGCCGTGTACAGGTGAATGGTCATCTCCACGGGCTCCTTGAAGGTGGGGTCGTTGGCGCTCCCGGAGCCGGACGGCTCGGCCGGGGTCGCCGACGACGACGAGGGCGACGAGGCGGCGGCGTGGATCCCCCCATCGGCCATGGCCATGGTGTGGTCCCGGCCGGCCGGCAGCAGGTGGCTCAGGCGCGCGTTCAGCCCGGCCGGCAGGAGCCCGGCCACGCCGGCCATCGCGTCATCGATGCCATTCTGGTACCCCAGCGTGAAGGTGATCACACGGGCGATGTACAGCAGCGTCAGCAGGGTGTACATGGTGACGTTGGCCGTGATATAGTGCTTCTTGAAGACGCGAATGCGCCCAGAGCTGTAGTGGTAAAGCTCGGCCCTGTGTGTAGGGGGAGATGGGGAGGAGGGGTGGAGAGAGATGGGGAGAGGAGGGGTGGAGAGAGATGGGGAGAGGAGGGGTGGAGAGAGATGGGGAGAGGAGGGGTGGGGAGAGAGGGAAAAGAGGAGAGATGGAGAGAGAGGGAAAAGAGGAAAGGTGGAGAGAGAGGGAAAAGAGGAAAAAGAGGGAGAAAGTCAGCAACAGAGAGCGGCGATAACACCAACAAAGGCCGGATACACAAGGAAAGGAGGGGGCCATGGCGGCGCGCACCAGAAAAACAGGAACACGAAGTAGGCCGAGAAAAAGATGAACGAGGGAAGGGAGTTGAGGATGACATAGGACAGGTCGTTGATGGAGTCACTGAAGGGCTGGTAGCACATGTAGCAGATACGGACTGGGAGGCGGGGGGGGGAGGTGGGGGGGGCGACCGGGTCAGCACGGGGAGCAGGGCCACCACACGACGGAGAAACAGGCACAAGGGCGAGGGATGGCACACGCACTCAAACAGCCGACCATGATGAAGGAGTGGAAGAAAATCTGCCACTTGTGGCTGGCGTCCAGGCGGAATCGGAGAAAGAGCAGCCGCGCGCTGGTCCCGAAGAGGGCCAGGTACAGGCCGGCGGTGATGAAACTCATGGCGAAGCAGGCATGCCGCTCGGCGGCATCCTCCAGCACTGAGCAGGCCATCTTGGCGGGCGCGGGTGTGGGCGGGGAAGGGCGAGGGCGG